GTGCATTCGAGCCTCTCCCGGATTTCAAGCCCCTTGCAGAAGACCCATCTTCTATCTCGATAGTCCACGCAGTTGACAATCAGGCAGCCGTTTGACGGGCGGGCGAAGCGTTCATTAAAGCGCATCACATCGACCATCCGGACGTGACCAGAGAGCATGTTACTCTACAGTTTCTCAAATCAGAAGCCCCAAGGTTTTGTCTTTCCGACTGTATTCCATCACTTTGAGACTAACTCGCGATACTTCCTTATCGTTTCGAGAATTCCCGGCCAACTTCTTGATGAGGCTTGGCCCAGCCTGGACGAAGCTGAACGTCAGTATTACATCGCCCAGGTGGCAGAGATTTGCAATCGCCTAGCAGCATGGAAGGGCGATATCATCGGCGGCGTGGATAGACGCCAGTTGTTGGAGCGTTATCTCGTCAAAGGCAACAGCAAGATGACGGATGCCCTTTCTCCACAGCAGCTTCTGAAGAACTGCACTGAGATGTCTATGGATATCTCCACACTTGTCCTTTATCACTGTGATCTTGGCCCTACCAATATTCTTGTCGATGCCTCGACAGGCTCGCTGGGCATCATCGATTGGGAGCTTGCTGGCTATGTTCCTTCCCATCGAATGGGTTAGAACCAAGTTTCGCCTCTCGGCAGGAATGGATTTTAGTCATAGGGATGAAGACTCTAGAAGGGATTGGCGCCATAGAGTCGCCCAGCATCTGGAAAAGATAGGTTACGACGATGCTGTGGATGCATGGCGGAAGTTTCAGAACAGCAAGTAGACATTGGTATTAGTTTCAACTCCTCTTCTCTTGGCAGTGTCCTTATTTCACCAACCCCTTATTCACCTTGGGGTCCCCAGACAAGAAGGCAAAGTCCAGACGAAAGAGGATATTAAGCTATCACCAGAGATATGGAGTGTGAAACCTGATCCACTTGTGTCAGGAGGCCCCTCCAGAGTCGCGGAGCATGGGGCTGGTTAGCGGCTAGGGACTACGAGAACGTGCATATAAGGACTGCGGGGGGCTTCCTAGCTGCGGAAGGTCAGAATTCAGATTGATTCTGCCTCCATGCATATTATCCATTGCCCCTGGACCTAGCACGAAAAACCTCTCCACTCTGCTCAAACCATGCTCTGTCAACTTGCTACCTATATACAATAAGTAACACCAAGTAGTGCACGCAGGGCTTAGAACAGGGATTCTTCAATGTTAAGACTGATGCATTTCTCAGACAAACCAGCATAAATCTCATCATGCAAATACAACAGCCTGTGGCAGTCCTCTTGCATCGGGTGTTGGCCACAAGGCCCAACGAGGAAGCGCAACCAGCTCTGAAAACGGCCAGATGTGACATCTTCAGGAGAAATTGAATCGCGGTTGGGGCGGAGGTGAAATAATGACGAGTATTGGCCTGTGCTGTGTGCCTTAGATTGTATCTGTTGCATCAGATTTCATGTTACGAAAGTCCCGTCCCAACTAAAATTCATCAATGTGCCCAGTGGAGCCGATGAATCGGTGCGAAAAGTCCCAAAAGCTGGTCGAGATGCCGCTACTGTATTTGACTGGAAGTGCACTGCGAGCCAATGCACTGCACGTCTCTCTCCCTTCGACGAATTTGTGCGTCGTGGACGTTGCTGATGCCTGCAAGGGGTGGACCTCGTCGTTGCGAGTTGAAGTGTCTGTTGGCGGATGCTTCGGGCACAGACGCAGTTGATGAATGTTAGTCAAATCAAAGTCTCACTTCGTATTACGGTAGTGGTTGTGCGGTACCGATGATTTTTATTTGATAGATACTGAAAATGTCCTGTTCCATCCTTTTCGTTGCCTGCAGCGTCCTGCTGACCCCGAAACCCATACTTAACCAAATATTTCGATACTCAAAGGGATCGAATCTGATGTGGTTTACAGGCCTACTCCTTGACAGGAAGGGGAACACCCGAGAGAATGCAGTCAAGGGCAGAGAGAATGACGCGGACGGGGCTGCGAGCGACTCATGTCAGCACCTGAACATTTGGTTTTGAGAAGTGCTGGAACAACATACCAGCCGAGAAGATCACTCAGGAGCGTGTCAGCATCAACGCCACCAGGGACGCAGGAAGTGATGCCGGCGATACGCAGGAGGCAAGTTGGGTTCAGAGGAAGACCAGGCAGGCTGGGAATGACAGGAAGCTGGCGCTCTTCAACAGCGGGAGTTGCCGCAGCGAGGGCAAGGGCAGGAAGTGCGAGGATGACGGAGACCTTCATGGTTGCTGGTTGCTGTTGGAGTCGCAAAAAAATGTGAAAGCGTTTGTAGGTTGAATGTTGTTGTGAGAGCTAATGACAAGATGAAGAGAGATCGGTAGAAACTTGCGGGAAGGCCCAAGGTTTTTATATTCGCTTGCCGCGTGGATCAAGAGTCAATTTCCGGTGGATATACTCTCACCTCAGGATTTGAGATGAGAGCAATTCGCAGCAACACACTCGTCGTGCATCAAGACTGAAACATCCCCTATCGCTGGACTGTACCTCGAGCCTGGAGAAACATGGCGCTGTTTGTGAACCATGTGACAGAGTCTTTTGTGTGAGTGACGTGCTATCGAATGGCACATGAGGCCGGAACTCGCTAGTACATACTGCCTGTTGAAAGGCTGGCAAAGGCTCGGCGCGTGCCGCAACGCCAGCCTCAACGGCGGCTAAGGGAGCGAGCCTGTAGTAGAGCGGGTTTAGTCTGTCTTGCTTTCAAATCGTGGGGGTAATGTGGACATGGGACATGAGAAGTGACATATGATGAGTTTATGCCACCATCTACCAAAGCTCCCAGACTGTTGAGGGTTGCTGGGGTTTCTCAACCGGATGATTGCCAGCGCACATCCCACATTACCCGGTCGTCTCGCATGTGTCAGACCGCGATCTCTGATAACGTATTTGTCGTTATTCCTCACTTCGAGCTAGTTTAGATACAACTAGAATACAAAAACAAAATGTCTGTTTTACATTGATTCACATGTGATGGAAGTCGGCGGACCTCAAAGTACTCGTGTTGTGATTCAAGCCTAGATACAGAGCAACTTCTCCAGGAAGTGCACGGGAAGAACAATTTGTGTACATATCTCTCTATACGTAATGAAAAAGACGATATTGGTTGTATACACCGGAGAACCACGATAACTACACGCTTTACAACTTCTCCGGACTGCGTCCATGTCAAAAGGAAGGGTGTTTTGCCACTTTTGTAAAAGCACATGGTCCATCTAGCCTTTCTCGACCCGGTGATTTCCGTTGAGGAAACGACACTTCATTTGTTACATCGAAAAGCCGGGGTTGCGATTGTCTGTCAATGTGGTATAGCTACTTCTATCCCTGTTGAAGTCCCGTTCCTCACATTCCGCGCCACAAGACAGTCCACTTGCCTAGGTCCTCATGTTGGTAAGATAATGACGGCAGTGGACAGGAGCATGGAGGATGAACATCCATGTCGGTCCTAGCATTGGAAGAGGTCCATATGTCGCGCGGGTGTACCCGCCTGCAGTCGCAAGACAGTGTCTTGTGCTAGCATTGCACGTACTCGTGTCTCAACACCACGACCAGACTGCACTGAGGCGGAGCGCTGTCTCCGCACACCAGACGGTTCTCACAACTCCACGAGACATCAATCCCTCGAGAAGATAAAGCACTCGTGGCGTGACGTGCTTCGATTGGTTCCTTGACGGCACTTCTGTCAGGTCAAACTGACACGTCGCATTTCTGTTGGCTCCCTGCTTAACGCTACGTAAGAAATGGTCAATAGGTGCCTTCACATCAAAATTTCATACATTCCTAAAAATATGATGGACGAAATATGTTCGCTGTAGGCTTCCTGCAGATCCACACAGAATACAGTGCTTGGCGAGACATCATTGGCGGTCCAGACGACAATTCGGAAGGCGAAGTTGCCATCGGGATGCCAGGGTTCACTCCTTGAGGCTGAAGGAATGACGGAAACAAGAATGGGCGCAAAATCGGAGGGAACAGATCAACGAGCATTGGAGATATCGAGTCCTTGACCCAGGAGCATCATCTAACATCGTTGTCGGGGCAAGCACCTTGATTTGGATAACTCCTGCTTGCAGCTCATGGACAGGCTGAATTGCCAACCTCATAATTGTCTATGCACTGGTATACGCGCAGGAGTTCAAACCATGATGTGTAAGCACTAAGGAGAGGGCCACGGCGATGATTGATGGACATTTCACAGGAGATCTCTTTTCAAATGGCAGGAATAACAATAATGCCTCCCTGCGTCTCGATCACATGACCCTCTCGTGTGTCATGTTCTCTTGATGATCTTACTTCTGGGCCATAGATGTATGCCGCAACCGATTTCAATGCTGTAATTTTTCGATCCTGAAGCCGTGAGTTGGCCGCGCTGATGTGAAGAGCTAATTGAGCTCTGACTCTCTGAGCATGATATTTGATTGTCGGTTGGATGAAAAAGGCGAGAATCTTGCATCACTAGGTAGGTACTGAGGACAAGGAAACCTGAGAGTCCATAATCACCCTTCCGCAGAGTCATAGCATGTGTCAGAGCGAGGGAATGAGCATAGTGAAGAGGTCTTCCGCAGGCGATATCTGCAGTCAACTGTCGAGGAAGGGGTCAGAAAACATCTAGAATTTGGCCCTCCGCAGCTAAGGGGAAGACCTTGTATACGCTCTTTCGGGGCCTCAGTCTTTTGAAACAGTTCTCTGGGGCCCCCTGTTTCTCGGCTCAGCAGGTGCCTCCCGATACGTGACGATCAGTGGCCTGGACAGCACTGGCGACCTTGTTCTCCTGCAGGCGGAGCAGATAGCCTTCAGAAGGCGAGACAGGCTGTAAATTTCTATCGGTGTCACGAACAGAAGTCGCTCGAGGTGATCAGTATATCCGCACTCCATGCTGTGGTTTGGTTCGTTGATGAACACCTACATGGGAGATGCTGACCAAGCTACGGGCGTTCCGTCCTCTCAGGCGTCGGCGGCACTAGGAATAGATGAAGCAATTGTTGATTCCTTCGCATCCGAGACACAGTCCAAATGAAATTCTCTGGGCCATGTTTCTACTTTCAGCTGGGTTTTGCATTGGTGCGACGTGTACTGATGGTGGTTCGTGATGCCTTGAGGGGTCATCTAGCAAACTCGAGACCCGAGGCGAGCACGGCCTGGGTCACTACCGGGAAGGCGAAAGAGCTTGACTTTTGTCCTTCAGTGCCACTGGATGGGTGTTCATCAGCACGGCGAGACTCGGTACTAACGAGAGCTAAGATACGGAGTAGAACTGAGTCTTCCACGAAAGGGACATACTTGAAATGCTCTGCGATGAGCAAGCTACAGGTGTTCAGGTTCGTGTGGAATGACGGACGGTCATGCACGACACAAGCACGCGTCAGCCCCTTCGGATGCGCACACTCACAAGTCCCACACACCTACTCCGCCATGAACCGTCATGAACCGTCATGTGTGCGTGCATACCTCGAGGCTAGGCACGGGTCAGAGCGGGTGGGTAGAACCATCAAGGTCAGGTGTTGGATCTGGAAGAAGCCCACGCCCTTCAAAACGCAGTGTTCGATCCGATCGCGGGTTAAAGTTGGTGCATAAAGTTATGCCATTGTCTGGGCCTCTCTGGGCTCCCGGTAGCAGGCACATGTTCCCTTAGGGCAGACCAGCAACCGAATAACTGATTGATGCGTGTACGCCAAACGGGCAGCGATGCTATCATATGCCCAGACCCTCATGTGACCTGGACGGGTGGCGTTCGTCGACGACGGGTCATCTTGGGTGTGTCCCCCGCCAGTCATGGCAATTGCACCAGAGCAGTGGTGGAACACACCATGGCGGTGAAATGGGAAAGCTGACTCGGATGTACGGCTAAGCTCCGAGGATTCCCTGGGGACCTACAAGTACCTACCCGGATCGAGAGCGAGGGAGGCGCCTGTCTGCCTGTGTGTTTGTCACTCGTGCGTTATCTGATAAGGCGGAACCCCCATCAAGGGACTCCGTCGTGCCAGAGAGGGAGCAGGGCGAGCGAGGTTCCCCGCACCATCAGGGCGGAGCAGGCCAACAGTACCTCGCGGTGGCCTAGGTCTGAGGTACAGTAGAGACAAGTAGGATCGCTGCCTGCACTCAACAGAAAAGCAATCGTCATGGAGCTCGTCAAAGGGCAGTCCGCGCTGTGCCGCGGCAGCTGGGGGGACTGAGGCATCCATGGAGGCCACCACAGCCGGAGCTCAAGCAGCTCAAGCTCTCTTGCCGCCTCACTGCATCCCCTCCCCCCCATTCCGCGCCAGGCTGGAACCTTGGAAACGTGACCTGTTCCTGAGTACATGCATCGCCTAGGGAACCCGCCAGGTGGCGTTGATTGGCCGCTCCGCCTTGCGCTAAGCCGATCTCGGGTGGTCAGTCAGTGGTGGGAAGCTGGGGTCTGGTTTTGTTATCTGTGTGGAGAAGGGGCGTGGACGTAGTACACAGTGTTATCGTCTGTTTCGGCGCTGGTTTCTGCTGACCTGCAGGGTGCTGTTGCCCACTGCCAGCACGGTGTGTTGGCCCTGATAGTACGGCCAAGTGTCAGCCACCCTGGTGCCTGGATGCGTCACACACTCCAAAGCTGCGCACGCGCACGCAATGAACGAACGGCTGGCTGGCTTCGCCGCCTCCGGCGGTTTATCTAGCCAGAGCTCCCTCCTCCTCCTCTCAACCTCCTCCATCACTCCTCCATCTCCTCACCATCCATCCTCCTCTCCCCCCCATCCAGCTCCATCACCAATCAAGCCTTGTTTGTCGTGTCCCTTTGTTGTCGAGTTCCCCGTGTCGCAGGTAGACCAGCTCGATTTCTGCCCAGCATGAGAGTCATCGTCAGTGCCGTTGCCGTGGCGGCTGTTGTCAGCGCCACCCCCTCCTTCTCAACCGAGACCATCCACGGAGATGCCGCACCCATCCTCTCGTCCTCCAACGCCGAGGCCATTCCCGACTCGTACATCGTCAAGTTCAAGGACCATGTGAGCGAGTCATCCGCCTCGGACCACCACTCGTGGGTCCAGAAGATCCACGACTCCAAGGGCGCCGAGCGCCTCGAGCTGCGCAAGCGCGGCCAGGAGCCTCTTGTCGAGACGACCTTTGAAGGTCTCAAGCACACCTACACTCTCGGTGGCTTCCTCGGCTACTCTGGCCACTTTGACGAGGCCACCATTGAGGAGGTCCGCAAGCACGCCGATGTACGTTGCCCCACGCAAGTCTCCCATCAGTTCAGCTGCTGACCATGATCCCCCCCCAGGTCGAGTTTGTCGAGAAGGACTCGATCGTCCACACCATGGTGCCCGTCCAGACCGAGGCCCAGACCGAGGACAAGTGCGATGGCGAGGTCGAGAAGTCGGCCCCCTGGGGCCTCGCTCGTGTCTCGCACCGTGAGAGCCTGAACTTTGGTAACTACAACAAGTACCTGTTCGCCGACAACGCTGGCGAGGGTGTTGATGCCTACATCATCGACACCGGTACCAACGTCGACCACGTCGACTTTGAGGGCCGCGCCAAGTGGGGCAAGACCATCCCCCAGGGCGATGAGGATGTCGATGGCAACGGCCACGGCACGCACTGCTCGGGTACCGTCGCCGGCTCCAAGTACGGTGTGGCCAAGAAGGCCCACGTCTATGCCGTCAAGGTCCTCCGCTCCAACGGCTCCGGCACCATGTCTGACGTCGTCAAGGGTGTCGAGTGGGCTGCCCAGTCTCACCTCGAGCAGGTGAAGAAGGCCAAGGACGGCAAGCGCAAGGGCTTCAAGGGCTCTGTCGCCAACATGTCTCTCGGCGGTGGCAAGACCACTGCCCTCGACCGCGTCGTGGATGCCGCCGTCGAGGCCGGCATTCACTTCGCCGTCGCCGCCGGCAACGACAACGCTGATGCTTGCAACTACTCGCCCGCTGCCGCCGCCCAGGCCGTCACCGTCGGTGCCACCGAGCTCGGCGACGCCCGCTCGTACTTCTCCAACTACGGCAAGTGCACTGACATCTTCGCCCCCGGCACCAACATCCTGTCCACCTGGATCGGCTCCAAGTACGCCACCAACACCATCTCCGGCACTTCCATGGCGTCGCCTCACATCTGCGGCCTCCTCGCCTACTACCTGTCTCTCCAGCCTGCCACCGACTCGGAGTACTCGGTCTCTCCCATCACCCCCAAGAAGCTCAAGGGCCAACCTGATCGCCGTCGGCACCATTGGCGCCCTCTCCGGCATCCCCAGCGACACCCCCAACATCCTCGCCTGGAACGGCGGTGGCTGCAACAACTACTCTGCCATCGTCGCCAAGGGCAGCTACACTGCCAAGGGTGCCGCCAAGAAGACCACCTTCAACTCTGTTGTCGAGGATGTCGAGGAGGTCATCCAGAAGGACTTTGAGGTCGTCGCCGACAAGGCCAAGAAGTTCTCCTCCAAGTTCCACAAGATTGAGGAGGAGCTCAAGGAGCTTCTCGACGAGGTCTCCCTGTAAAGGGTCCGCCTCGGCGCGGTCGTCTTTGCTGGACACGGAGCTTCGGCATCATATTTTTCTTATCAGTCAGGAACACGGCATCATCATTGGGTTTTTTAGCATTCTGCTAGGAAGGATTGGTGTTTTGTTGTACAGCTAGGGCTACAGTAGCACGGAACGGATTTCTTTCAGTCAATCATAACACAATTTCACTTGACCACTTGAACGCAATTGTGAACGTGCTGCCTTCTGTGTCTCGTAGTGGCAAGACGGCCAGTTCATGTCATGACATTATGTAATGACCTGGAGGAGGGTGGAATACGGTAAGACGGACGATGTTCGAGAATGTCATGACATTATGCAAGGTTAACTTGTAGGAGGGTGGAATTATGTAAGAGAAAAGATGTTCAATAACGTCATGACTCTGGTT